AAAAAAGCAGGTTGGGGAGGTCAAAACCAAAGGGTAGGGGGTCAACAAAACAGGGTAGGGGGTTAAAAAAACAGGTTGGGGGTGGAAAAAAAAGGGTGGGGGGTTAAAAAAAACAGGTCCCCCCACCCTAAACCCTAAATAGTAGTTTCCATTTTCTTTTCCATTATCCCTATATAGCCCCTATATCATAGGGCTCGTCGCAGGTCGGCATGGTCACCGTGCGGCCTTCCTGCCCTGTGCCCTTGGTCCTGGCCATGGCCCAAGAAGGGGAGAAAGGGGCTTTGGGGTTTTGGGGTTCCTCTATAAATATTGGGGTTATATTGGGGTAATGGAAAATAAAATGGAAACTATAGGGATTATATGGGGGCTATCATTAGGTTTAAGGTTCAGGGTTTGGGGTGCAAGGAGACCCTGATCACAGTGGCCTTCTGATCATTCGAGGTTGCTGGGGACCATGCTCGGGCTCAAAGTTTGGTGGGACGCGCAGGGATCAGCTTTTTCCAGAGATCCTTCAATTCTTGAGCTACTTCCAGATGTGACACTGCTAGTTGCAATCCCGGACCCTTGACAGACAAACACCTGCTGACAACGGCTGACTCAGTAGCCCATGCCATCGCTAGAGCATCTCAGCAGACCAAATATCTTCATCAGGCACGTTTTCATCAGAACCAGATTTCGAGGTCGATGGCGCCTGCGTGGAACACTGTCCAAGGACAAAGGTTCCAGTGGCTGGGAAATGCCCGGCGCCTGGAGAGGCCATGACTCCATCAACCAAGCAGCACAGCGCGCCAAAATGAAAAGGCGTTGTAAGGCCTTGTTTTCTTCATAATGTTGCCCTGGCAAAACACTTTGAAAAACGCGAAAGTGATTGCGCCACGGGCCGGGAGGTATGTTGAACTTGTAGAGCTGGAGGCCTTGCTTGCTGAAAGATCTGCAGCCAGACGTTTGTGTTGGCTGAGGTATGCGTGACACGATGGCCTTCCATGCCTTGGACACACAGGCCCCGAATTGGATGTTGGAACTGATTGGAGTAAGTCCAAATTGAATCGGGACCCCGAGGAATCATTGGAATTTTCCAAAAACGAAGCAACAAGTTGGCTTGTCGGTGGGCTCTTACAGCAGATGATAGAGATCACGGCCTTGTTGCAGGACTACATGCTGCCAATCAGCATGACAGACCCCTACGAAAGCAGCGCGGCCCCTGTGGTGAGTTTTCGCGCAATGAAGCCGTGGGTACATGTAATGGTCATGTGGAGTAATTGAAAAGATAGAGATAGAGAGTATGAAGGATTGCCCTCATCACTCGCTGTTATACAGGGACTTGCTAGGTGATACATGATCATTAAGTTGCATTGCATTGGCTTACACGGCGCTCAAGCTTTGGCATGACAAGAGCTGCAGAACATGAGGCGACGCTGTAGGGTTCAAAAGGTTCAGGGCTTACTATAGGGTCTTTACAGGGTCCGTATGTACAAAGTTGCTAGCCCAACTGGTGCTACTTAAACGTAGAAGGGATCCACTCAGAAGTAGTCCGTCGGACATGGATGGACATGAACAAGATTCAGGCAACTAGCCAGTCCTGCTACGGTAGTGATGCTTCGAAACACGTGTAGGAATATCTAGGATCTGGCCAATGGAGCGGGAGTATGTGGTGGAAGTCCTGGGGCACGTCCAGGAGCGCACGCACGTGAAATACTGCATCGTGACAAGCACGGCAGATGGCCGGCAGTGGCAGGCTTATCGCCGCTTCCGTGACCTCTTTGAGCTCCATAACCTCTTGCGCCCAAAGCTTGGCAACAGTCGGGCAGCGCTGCCTGCTAGACGCGCCTACGGATTCGGGAAGCTGCTGTACGGACATGAGCAAGACTCAGACTTCGTCCTGGAGCGCCAGCATGAGCTCCAGACGTACTTAAACGCAACAGTGGCTGTAGATGCCGCCTTGTGTGCCAGTTTGCGCAGCTTCTTGGGTCTGCCGTTACTCCCAGAGTCTCTGAGTTTACAGCCAGAGCTCAACATCCCCTCCGACGCAGGGAAGTGGAAGACTCATGGCAAGCTCGATCTACGGCTTTTGCGCACCCTCTTCAGCTCAAGCTTGTCCTCAGAGCGTAGAAAGCGCCTTGTGGGCATACCACTATCTGTTGTGGAGCTGCATGATGTAGCCCAGACCGTCTCAGAGATGGTTGGCGCCGCATCAACCTGCGTCTTCCGCGCAGCTTCACGCGCAGTTGCCGAGAGTGTCCGCCGCAGCCTGGCATACCTGCTGACCTGCACCTCCAGAATCTACGTCTTGAGCTGTTGGCAGGGGCGCACGCCCGCTCTTTCCTTGTTTCATCCACACACACATACGTTTGAAGATTTTGAAGCTCCTTTGTCATCTTACTCCGCGGTGGCCTCTCGTGGTGGGAACCTTTTCGTGCTCACCGCAGAGGACTGGGCTATGACGACCTCACCTGACCTCTCCCCAAATGGAGGCTCATTAGAAGATTGCCCCAGAACGGCTCTAGACTCATCATCCTTCATCCAGATACAGTATACAACATGCCTGACATAATGCTGACTTTCTCCACGCTTCGGATTTGTTGATGGGAGCTTCTCAACAAAAATAATCCCGCAACACCTAACAGGGATCTGTACAATCCCATACAATCCCAAAAAGCCTTCCCACTAATTTTGGAAACCCCCCATTCTAGCCCTAAACCCTGAACCCCAAACCCTAAACCCCACACCCTAAACCCTAAACCCCAAACCGTCAACCCCAAACCCTAGCCAGAGAGGACCAGGTCGGGAGCAGCGGCACCACCTGGTCGAAGCCGTACTTTGGCTGAAGATGACAGAAGTCTGGGGATGTATACGAGCTTTAGTTGTTATGTAGGGGTAATGGAAAAGAAAATGGAAACTACCATATTAGGGTATATATTGGGGTTGTAGTCCCCTTTAAGTAGATAGAGTATGGGGTAGATGGGGATGTTATGATAGTATTCCCAAAGCCATGTTGCATCTACTTAAGGGTATAAGATTTAGGGTTTAAGGTTCAGGGTTCAAGGTTTAGGGCTAAGTTTAGGGTCTAGACTCCTTAGAGGGGGTTATATGGGGCAGTAGTATAGGGGTTACTAAGGGGCATACCTGGATTTTAGACTGTAGCCCGTACATATGGGGGCTTCCCCAAAGTTGGGGGGTACCATTTTTGGGGGTGCCATTGTAATGATTATAGTTTATTGGGGTCCTCCGCTTTTGGGAAACTAGCAGAGAGGGTTTCTTAGGAATAGCTGTCATATCCTCTCTCTTTCCTCTTTTCCCTTCTGCTTCTGTCAGTTGCACTCTAGTTACTCTAGCCGGAGTCTTGAAGAGACTTACCGTCTGAGACACTGCGCTCGTTTTGCCACAGCAGTGATGTAGGTCATGGGAGCGAAACCTTCTTTGCCGAAGTATTCGTCCCCGCAGAAGCGTCAGCTATTACCCCAACAATTTATCATGGAGAATGGAGAGTCAAATGGAGAAGAACATGAAAAATGGAATGGAAGCTAGGTTTATATAGGGGTACAGGGTTTAGACATGATGTCCCTAAACCCTAAACCCTAGGGCAGAGGAGTGGCCAAGGTGGCAGCAGCAAAGGCTTAACGTAGTATTTTCTCTCCTGTTCTTCATGAAAAAGAAAGTGACCCCACAACTAACTAACATGTCAGAAGCTCATAACTACCCACTATATCATATGGTGGCTTCCATACATAGATGTGGGTCCTAGTATAGGCCCCAAAATACTATGATCCTTATTATGGGGACCCCAAAAAGGTACCCGTAATTTTGAGAAACCCTCAACCCTATACCTTTTCCAAGGTACCCCTAATTTTGGGAAACCCCCCTTGGTGTAGTGGAGTTACCATCTTAAATAGCAGTCATGGCAGAGTCTGAGGCGTTTCCTGCGCTTCGACGTGATGCGTCGAGAATCTGGGTTGCTGTCAAGGAACTACAATTAAGATACCACAATGAGGAAAATATCGATATACCCATAAAACGGCAACCCTAACCTTAAACTCAAAATCCTAAATACCCATAGTAAGGTACCCTAATTTAAATGACTACCTTACCTTAATTTTTACCCTAAACCCTAAACCCTAAATGACAAGAGCAACTCAGGAATGGCATGCCCTGCCACCCCGGCCGGGTGAGAGCGCCACCCGCTACGCCCTGGCGGCTGCAGGCGGGACTCCTGCCCTTGAAGCACATGACCGATAGTCTAAAACTCCTTAAAAGGGGTTATATAGGGGATTATATAAGGGACTACTATAGGGGGTTATTAAGGGGATGCTAGGAGTTTGGACCATTGTTCACATGGGGCTTCCCAGACTTAGAGGTATGTACCTTTCGAAGGGTGTATATAGGGCTGTATAAGGTTTAGGGCTATTTTGGGAAAGTATGACCTTGGGCACAGTAGTAAGATAGTCTGTTTGTAGGTGTGTATATGTGTATATATATATATGGTAGCCCCC